CTCCTTCAAGGTGTGATGATCACAGAGACTAGCAGAGGTCCCTGGTTGCCACTCTACCTCCACCCACCACCTCTGATGCTCAGCTGCTCCCCAGAAAGAAAGACCTTGTCACAAAGAGAGGGAGGGAGAAGACATGCTTCCACATGCAGCCCATCTGGGAGTCAGTGCTAGTCTCCTGATCCAAGAAAACATCTGTTCAGCTCTCATTCAGAGAGGCAGGCAGAGACTCTGCAGCCCTGGTGCTGAGCAGGAAATGGAGAACCTGGGCTAAACCCAGAGCCCCCTTCCTGAGGGGCTTAAAACAAGCCACCACTGTTGCCTGTTCCTCCTGGGACTCCTGCTGGGGGGCTCCCATCGCTCCCTTAAGATAATTGTCACTTCCTTTTCCCAAGGTTGCAGGCTCTTGGGGCAAAAGCCATTGCCTGCCTGAGACTGCCATGTGCTTTCTGGGGACCTTTTATTATTTCACACACATATTCTGCAGCCATGTTTTTGAGAGATATAGCTGCCAAACGAACTGCATTTATTACATAATGATTAATTCATTGCTCCCATTTCTTATTAATCAAAAACATCCATAACTGCCTATCCAAGCTTTGGGTGGGGGACAGAGCTATGGGCTGAGAGCAGGGCACTGATGTATTGGGAGAAATGCATAGTACCCCTGAGGTTTCTAGATGAGTGGAGACAGCTCCTGGGTTGCCATACCACCTCCCCAAAAGCCCTGGTCCCACCTAGGATGTTTTATATCCATTGTCTAGCCAGTCCTGAGCTCAGGCTGGCTGTTTGGTGCTCAGCCACTAGCTGACTGGTGACTTGTCAGAGGTGGAGAGGGCCAGTCCCCCTACCCCTGAAGGCTGCCGATAGTGGCAGCCTGTGAAGGAGACTGGGCACCTGGGCTGAGTTTGAGGGCAGTTGACAGATCATCCTGGCAAGCTGGCCCTGAGCTGGCAGCCAGAAATTCTGGGGTTCCAGGGATATTTGAGATGCTTGACCTCTTGCCTAGCAGAGACTAGGCAGGCTCATGTTTTGTTTTGTTTGCTTTGTTTTTGGGGGCGGTTTTGGTATCAGAGATCGAACTCGGGTCCTTGCACTTGCAAGGCAGGCAGCAGAACCACTGAGCTAAATCCCCGGCCCTAGGCTTGTGTTTTTAGTCCTCTGACAGGTAAAGAAGCTGAGGTTGGCCTGTGGCCCCCACCCTGCTTTACTCACTCATCTAACACTGATCATGTGCCCCACGATCATACCTGTTCCTTTTTTTTTTTTGAGACCAAGTCTCATGTAGTCCAAACTGGCCTTGAACTCTGTAGTCCAGGCTAGCCCCAAGCTCCTGCCTCAGCCTCCCAAGTGCTGGGATTATAGGCATGTGCCACATGCTCTTAGGTACTTTTATACCCATTGTCATGTTTCATTTGCACGAACAACCATGTGAAGTAGGAAATACCTTCTGTGGATTAGCAGTGAGTAAGCTAAAGATCAGTGAAGGGAGGCTTCTTGGCCACCTCACTTAGCCACCATTAGAAATCCAGGAGGTTAAGATAACAGAATCTAAGACACAGGGTGAGGCTGGCACATCTGGCAAAAGAAACAGCATGTGCAAAAGAGTGGCCATGGGAGCAGCTGTGGTGCAGAGGTCCCTAGTGTTGGAGTAAGTAGAGGCCAGCTCGAGTCACTGAGAGGGTCGAATGCTGGGAGCAGGGAGCCAGGGAGCCATGGCAAGTATGTGAAACTGTCCCTGAGGGCAGGAACACTTTGCTGGGGGCTTCTCCTAGAGGGACCCTCTTTGCCTGTCTGTGCCCTTTCAGCCACCTGGCAACAAGCACACCTGCCAGATCTGTTGTACCTGTTCCTGCTCAGGATACAACAGCCAACCTCGCACAGACTATCAGGGAAATAAATGCTTGACACATCCACCAGGGCCTTCCCCTCCAGTCCTGCAGTGCCCATCTCCACTGTGCCTGTCCAGAGGGAGGCTGTATGGAGGCCAACACCTGTCCATCAGCAGAGTTCCTGCTCTTAGTGCCAGCTCACTCCAGCTGCCTCCAGGGACCATCCTGCTGCCTCCCCAGAGAGCCAGTGCTTCCGCTGGCTGCTGCCTAATAGCTCTCCCGGCTGGAGACTATGCTTGATATTTAGCCTGCATGGCAGGAGTCCTGATAGCAGCAGCTCTCCCTCCCTGCTCCTGCCTCCTGAGCCCCAGAGATGGCCCTGCTCCCTCCTGAGCTGACATCCTCCTGCATGCCCAGGTATCAGGCAGAGAAAGCCTGGGCCTTCCAGCCTATTCTTGGTTACATGGGAAGGGAACAAACTTCCAGGAGTACTTTCCTGTGGTAAGTGTGGTGATTTTCTCCTTTGAGATCCAGAGGTATCTTGTGAAAGTGTGTTACTAGCTTTGTCCCCATTTTTTTTTTTTGGTGCCGGGGATCGAACTCAGGTCCTTGCACTTGTGCAACAGGTGGCAAAACCACTGAGCTAAACCCCCTGGCCCCTTGCCCCCATTTTAAGATAAAGAAACAGAGATTCTGAAAGAGAGCATGCTGGAGATAGACCCCTGGGGCTTTGTGCCTCAGGACCTTTGCTTCTGCTGGTCTCTGCCTAGACTCTCTCTGTTCTTTTAGATCTCATCTTGGATGCCTTTTTGTCCCATATTTACTAAAGATGGCCTTTCTTACCAAACTGTAAGCTTCATAAGGCAGGGAGTCACTGCCACCACCATCACCTCCATGCTGGGATGAAACCTAGTGCCTTGTGTAACAAGCGTATTACCATTAAACCACATCTCCACCCCCCACCATCAATTTATATTGCTCCTCTCTGTATATATTGCCCCAGCCTAGGGCATGTAGCTCACACTAGGCTTCACTACATCTTTATCAAAGGAGTAAGTGAGAGGGGGTAAGAGAATGTCTGTGCTGCCTAGGGTCTAGGGAAGGGCTTCCTAGGGTAATACACCAAATTTCTAAATGTTTGTCACACGTGGCAGTGGTGTTTATGGTGGGTGCACAGTTTCTTACTCCTTGATGGTCTGATCTGGGTATGGTCCCCACCCAGGTAGTTTGTGAAGGGGCATCCTGTGGAAGAGTGTGTGCACTCACTCACATTCCATTGGCTAGAGCTCAGTCATGTGACCACAGAGCAGGAGGGAAATGTAGTCCAGCTTTGGCTCCAAAGAGTGATAACAGATTTTGGTGACTTTGAAGCTTCCCATTCAGATTATTATGAAAGTCTTTCTAGTCATGAACCCAGTCCTTACCAAGATGCCCTGTTCTAAGTCCTTGTCTCACACTGACCATTTTATTCTCACAACAATCCTGCAGAGCATTATTATTGGTCCTCTTTGCAAACACGGAGGGCAAGGGCTTAAATGACTTGTAAGAGCCAAAGCATCTCGGAAATCTGGAGGTTGCTGTGGCCAGAGCCTGAGACCTTCATTCCTGATCATGCACTCATCTTGTGAATTTAAGAGGCCAGTGTCCATCCGAAAGAAATGAACTATAGGAGCCCAGCGCAGTGATGCAGGCCTGTAATCCCAGCTACTTGGGAGGTTAAGGCAAGAGGGTCACAAGTTCAAGGCCAACCTGGGAAATTTACCAAGACACTGGTTTAAAGTAAAATTTTTAAAAGGCTGGGGATGTAGTTCAGTGGTAGAGTGCTTGTTTATTAGCATGAATGAAGCCCTGGATTCTATCTCCCAATACTGGAGAGAGGCACACAGATGGAGAGAAAGACAGAGAATACTCTGGGGCCTCCTTTTGCCCTGGTCTTTATGGGATTTTGATTTGCTGATGGGTGGGGTGGAGGAGTACTTCTCTGAGGGGCCTCGCAAGGGCACTGCACTCCATCTCTCAGCTGACCCTGTTTGGAAGGCCTCTGTTCGTGTCTGTCCCCTGCACAGGGAGAAAGTGACACACATGTGGCTACTTCTCTTCCTGGCCCCTTGTAATGGACAACTACTCTCCTGCTGGAGTTTGTCAGACCAAGAGATGGAAGGGCTTTCAAGCAGAGAGAACAGTTGGTGTGAAGGCTGAGACCCTGGCTTCTCTATACTGGTCTCTGGCCCCACTTCTAGGGCTGGGTTGTGGCCCAGGAGGGACCCAGATCTGAGGTTCTTACCACTTGCCCTGAAGAGGAAATTTCTCCTATACTCATGTGTTCATCTCAGTTCAAACTGGTGTTTTTCCTCATCTGTGGAAGAGGATTGGAGACATGGGGAAAAGGAAGGAGGAGGAAAGGGTAGCCAAAAGGGAAGATGAAGAAGAGAACAAATATGAACTGGGCTGAGCACCTGCTGGTGCGAGTCCTAAAGGGAACTCTTAGCTCAATCTCTCTCACCTGTACACCCAGCTGTAGGTAGCATCCTCAGCTGAGCACTGCTGCCTCTGGGCCTTTGCACTCACCAGTCCTTTGTTCTGGCTGCCGGTACTCTTCCCAGAGAGCTTCCCCCTGGGAATTTCCACTCCCCCTTGGACTTCCTCAAATGACTCCTTTTGATGAGGCTTACCAGACCATCCTATCTAAAACTACAAACACCCTCCCTCACATGTCCTGCTGACCTTAGCAAATGTTTTCCCCACAGCACCTAGTCGCCGTCTAGCACTGTGCAATATGTTCTTACTGGTTACTTCCCTCACACTCATTCACTCACCTCCCCCCAATATAAGCCACTTGAGGACAGGTGGGGTTTTTTTGTTTTTTTTCTTTGGTACTGGGGATCGAATTTGGGACCTCGTGCTTTTGAAGCAGGCGGCGGAACCACTGAGCTAATTCCCCGGTCCCCTTTTTTTAATGCTTGTTTCAATGGCAGATCTCTAGCCCTTCAACACAGTAGGCGCTCCATAAACGTTTAAGTATGAGTGAATTCAACCCTGGGCTTTGTGATCCCATTTCACGGACCAGGAAGTGGAGGCCTAGGGTCTCACAGTCTCACTGTGGGAGGAGGAAGGTCCAGCGCCCCGCGGGAGCTGCTTCTCCCACCCCTTCCCAGCCCGCAGGTAACTGACCCAGCAGCCTGGCGGTGCGAGGGGCTAGGTAGCCATGGTGGCGTCACGGCGACATCTCATATTTCCTGCCTTTTGTGTTAGCACGAGCCCCGCCTCCCGGCCCGGCCGCTGTCCCTGATTGGTCGTCACTGCCAATGGGCGTGGTTAGCGGAGTGGGCGGATCTCCAGGAACAGCGCCTGTCTTCTGGCGTGTGGCCGCTGATTAACAAGCCGGCGCAGGCTGGTGCGGCTGGAAAGGGGCCGGGCTTCCGGCACAGTGACTCTGGGAGCCTAGTTTGGGGTGGGGACGGCGTTGATGGCGACTAGAACTATGTTATGACCCAGTTCCCCCTCTTTTTAGATTTTCTTGGTCCCTTGGGGTCCGAGAGTGAGAGGCCCGCTGGGTCAGTGGTCCGTAGTCTTCATTAGGGCCCTGGATGGTGGATGCTGCAAAAGTGTCCTAAGGAGAGGACCTCTTACTTGCCATGCAGGCCTCTCCCTCCCCTTTCCACCACAGGGCCTTTGCATGCCATTCTCCATTCCTAGATCATTCCTCACCCTTTCTCCGGAAGCTCTCCACACAGACCACCAATGCTTAGTCTCCTCTCACTGTGTCTTTGTCTACTCCCCCCGTCCCCCAACATTGAGTCCTATCAGGGCAGAGCTTGTTTGTGACCCAGCACATAGTAGGTGCTTAATTTACACTACTGAATGCATCCATTCATCCAGCTGCCTTGAGGCTTCCTTGGTGGGCCCCAGGCTGGGCACTGGGACTTGGGAGGAAGAGAGACAGATGTGCCTTCACACTTAGACACAGAGGGCTTTTTTTCACTGCCAGGGCATGGGGTGAGTATCTGGCCTGCACCCCAGACTAGAGGAGCCTGGTTTGGTGTGTGCCCTGTGTGAATAGCCCACTGTGCTGGCCAGACGAGGAGCCTGGTGGGGCCAGACCTGGGAGGCCCAGCATCTGAGTCTTCCTTTGTGTTACATGCCTGTGCCTTGTCCTGGCTTGATAGAGGCGTGAGAAAACCAATACAGTTCATGTCCTCATGGCACACCCACAAACTGAAAGGGAGCCAAAGTCATGAAATTGGTATACCTTCAGGGATTTTGATGGTCTTTAGTGTGTGTATATTGTTTTCCCCAATACCAAAAGTGTAACATACAGAAAAGCTAGCATTTTTATTTAAGTTATGAAATCGGAGATTTGCAGGCATTGGCAGGTGCTACAAACCACCCTGGAGTTGCTTTGGGCTTAAGCCACCCCCAAATCATCAATCTTAAGAGATGGGCTCAGGAATCTGCCCTTTTTCAAGCTGCCTGTATAGCTTTGATACTCAGGATTTTAAGTTTTCCATGTGAGAAATTAAGTGACATGTTGTACACCTGAATACACTGGAACATTGTCCAGGACCTAGAAAGTTCCCTCCACAACTCTGTCTGAGGCCCTGGATACAGATTCAAGTCTAGACTGGAGGGACTCTGGATGCTTTAGAAATTAGGAAAAAAGCTCTAGATCCATATCCAGAAACATGTGCTTGTTTACCCAAATAGAAACTTTGCATTTGACTTCCGGACATTCTTACATAGGGGTCTGAAGGGCAGAGGAGGCCTGTCTGGGGAAAGACCTCCATGCTGACCTGAACCTAGGACCAAATATGTATGGTTGTGTAGACTGTACACTGCACAAGAGTTCCTGGCAGAAATCGACCCACTGACCAAGCAGTGCGGCCAGCCTGGTGCCTGGGGTATCTTTCCCTGTTTTTACAAAGGTATTATATGGCATGCCTCTAACTCAGCCATCACCACCCCTCCTCCTGTGACAACTCAGATTAGAGAGGCACTGATGAAGTTACAGAAGTTATGCACATCACCAGTGAGGAGCTGACCCGTAATAAAGCCATAATGGTGGACACACAGCTCTTACCCGCTCCGGTTTGGCTTTGGGTCCTCACAGAGCCCTAGGCTTTTGTCAGACAGTGATTGGGTGCTGCCCCTGAGGGAGAGGGCTAGTGATCTACAGTAGAGAAGCCCCCTGTCTGGGGAGAGCTGATGAACAAAGGTTTTGAAGCGGGACAAAGAGGATATCCAGGAGGCAGAGTGGAAGTATCCAAGCTACTGCCCATATTACCACCCCACCTGGGTGTAGATGGGTGCTGCCTCCTCCCAGGAACCTTCCTGATCTTTAAGTGGTTAGAGGCCTCCTCTGGGCTCCCACAGCCTGAGCCTTTGTGTCACAGTGCTGCTACCTGGCCTGGTAAGTCTTGTGTGTGCACTGTGGGCCCCACATGCAGACCAACACTGGGAAGGGTACAGCCCTGGGGTGGGAATAAGGCTGAGGTGCTGGCCCAAGGGCTCCAGACTCCTAGCAGCTTTGCTTCTGGGGTGAGGTAGTGCCAGAGTGAGAAAAGGACAGGTACTGGAGTTACCTAGCAAGGAAATTGACATTTCCTGTTGCTGACACTCCAGCACCACCCTCCCTGATATCCCCTGATGCAGCCTGGCTGGAGGGCAGCAGGGCCCAATCGTGGAGCCCTCCACCAGAGACCCCAGTCCCTCAGAAGACTGTACTCTGCCCGCCTGTGGGCTGGACACAGCCTCCTCAGGGATCACTTGCTGTCCAGGCACTGAGGACCTTGAAAATTCAGGAGCCCCTCTTTAAGTTCCCACCTGAGGCCGGTTCCCAGTGTACATCAGTAGATCAGAAGAGTAGGATGGGGAGGGGATTTAGCTCAGTGGTTCTGCTGCAGTGCAAGGACCCAAGTTCGATCTCCGGTACCAAAAAAAGTAGGAGCCCCCAGGTCCCTCCCTGGCCATTACCTTCAGATAGGACTGGGTTACCCTTTGGCTGTGATAAAGCCCAGTGTCTTATCTGGCACCCAGTGCCCTCAGGTCCACCTGAATCCTCTCATACCTGCTTGCCCACCTACCTACCTTCCCCCATACCTCAGCTTGGAGCTCAGTGCCCCCTTTTCTACTCTAGCCTCCACCTTCAACAGTGAGTAGATGAGCAGTCAGGTTATTTGCAGTTTCCCAGGGACCTTCTGCCATGTAACCCTTGACACACTGGTCCTGGCCTGAATCAAAGCCACTGAGAAGCAAGGAGGGCCAGGCAGCCCCAGTTAGCCATTGAGGGCCCATTGTAGGGTCTTTCTGCCCCAGCTCCCCTTGGCCTGGAGCCTAGGAAACTCATGTGCCCCTTACAGTGCCTAGCAGGAAGTGCCCAGCCACAACATGAATGAGCAAGTGATGGATACAGGAAAAGCCAGTAGGAAAGGGCAGGAAGGGGGTGCAAGTCTGTGACTGTCATTACATGGGTTCTGGGAATGCACATGGGCCAGATTCGCTCACTCAAACCTGGTCCACTCAGCCCCACCAAGGCCTCTGAGCACCTACTTTGCGCTGGACTGTCCTTTAGGTGCTCAGGACACAGTGCAGACAAGGCACAAGTGTCCTTCCCTTTGTGAAGCTGATGCCTGGGTTGGGGACATCAACAAATGCAAACCCAGCAAAGGTTATAAAGCAGGGAAGTGGCTGGGTGCAGCTGCAGGGCCGGTACCTGAGGAGGTGCTGCCCTAGGCCAAGGTCTTTTCACCTATGCAGTGGGGCCATGCTCACTGGGAGAATGACATCGGTCCACAGTTTGTCAGCGGGATGAACATACCCTCACCCTCAGAGTTGGTGGCCCTCTCTTGCAGTCCCAGAGGGCATGCGCAGAGCTTGTGGGAATGCACCTTGCTGTGCTGAGCCTGGACCCCATGTACATTTCACCTTCTCCACTATGGGTCAGGCTTGTCCCCTCCATTTCGAAGTGGAACAAGGGAAGCCCGCAGAGGGGCGTGGCAGTACCCTGTGCTTGTAATGAGGATGGGGGAGCACTCCTGGACTGAGAAAGGCCAGAGACCCTGAGCCCCAACATCACCTTGTTCATAGTGTGGACAGTTGTGGGGATGAGGGGCACAGTCTGGGTGTTGGGACGCCCAGTCTGAGACCCCAAAGAGTGCTGTCTTGGGGACCAAGAGAAGAAGGTGGAGCACTGGCCTAGCTGCAAAGTCCAGAAAGGTTTCCTGAGCCTGGCCCGGTTTTCTGAGAGGGCAGCCACCTTTCTGCACCCCAGTGCAGTATGGTTGCTGGCAACAGCAGGGCAGGGACAATGTGGCCGAGGCGGGAGCTGACTCCCTGGCACAGATGCCTCTGCTGCCAGCAGGCCATTTGTGCCTCACAGCACTCTTCCTTCCTCCAGCCCCTGGGCTCTGTGGCTTTCTGGGGGCTGGTGGGAGCCCAGGGAGACAGTCCCACTTCCTGCCCATCGTGGCTGCCTGCTTTCCACAGAGGATTTTTCCCCACCCCTGACTCAACAGCCACAGCCACTTGCAGCTAAGCAGAAGGGAAGTTGGGACTTGCATTTTGCCTCCTAGTGCCTGTAATCAGCCCCACACAGCCCCCGCCGCAGGCGCCCATCCGCACTGCTTCCGGAGACTACTTGAGATACACCTGCTTGTGCTAAAAGCAGAAGCAGTAATCCATCAAAACAACCCCAGGCGCTGGGGTGGGAGGGGCTGGGACTTGGTTTCCCCTCTTGTGGAACAGGGCGTCATGGGGCATCTGAAGTCTCTGCAGGTCCTGTCATCCTGGAATCATGTGGCTCAGTCGCTTTGCCCTGCTGGGCCTTGGTTTCCCCATCTGTCAGAGGTGCAGGGGGATAAGCTCCCAGCTTGTGCCTCTAGGCCTCCTTCCTCAGCCCCCCTCATCTCCCTTTCCAGAGACATTATAAATCAAACGGCTTAGAACGTAAGGCATCAAAAATTCTGAAACCTTCATCTATTATTAACGCTGACAGTAAATTCCCCCTCCGAGCGTTTTACATAGCAACTGTTACCAAGACTTGCTGGTGGAGTTGCTGCTCTAGCCGGCCGCATCCCAACAGCTCCGGGTGGATGGCAGGCCTGTCTCTGAGACTTACCTGCCAGGCTACCACCTGGGCACCTGCCAGGCTCTCTCCAGGGACAGGTGGGGAGGGACCGGTTGGCAGAGGAAGCGGCTGGCTTCCTGCTGAAAGAAGGTCCCAGCTGCTTTTGCTGAGCCCTGCTGGAAGTTCCTGGCAAACCCCAGCTCCTGACCATAGAAGAAGGACCCTGAAGCCTCTAGGCCCTTCTGAGGCAGCGCACAGTGCCTTTGGGCAGGATGGGATCAGGGACGAGAGATCCTGATGAGAGGAGGCCTGTAAGACAAGAGGACAGGAAAAGGCTTCGTGAACTGTAAAGGGCTGTGCAGATGTTGTTTACTGACTCACCCACCTGTCAGCTAGACATTCCTGAGTGCCTGTTTGTCTGCAGGCAGTATATGGGCACCAGGGATTTAAAATACAGACAACAACTCCAATCTTTGTCACATCTGGTTTGATAAGAGATAGACTTGTTGACCCTCTAATGGCAGTCAAGTGTGATGATCATGTGTATACAAGGAACTGACCTCTAGGGTAACTAGGGGACAGGGGCAGGCTTCACAAGGGCATGATACTTGGGCAGGGTTTTGAAGGATGACTAGGGGAGGGACTGTTTATTCTGGACAGCGGGACTAGCATGTGCAAAGGCCCAGGGGCATGAAGCAACCTAGCTGGCAGGTGAGTTACAGGCTGACTTGTTTTGGGGGGAGGGATGGAAAAGGGAGCAGGGGTCCAAACCTTTAATTAAAAACAGGGGGGGTTATTTTTGGGCACTGGAGAGCCATGGACAGTTTTTAGGGTGTTTTTTGTTTTGTTTTGTTTTGTTTGGTACCGGGGCTCAAACTCAGGACCTTGCGCTTTCGAGGCAGTCGGCGGAACCACTGAGCTAAATCCTGGCCCCTTATGGACAGTTTTTAACTGGAGAGGAGCGGTCAGATTTGGGCTTAAAGGGAAGAATAAATATTACTCAATACAGAGTTTAGGGATCCTGGAGCAGGGACAGTCAACATTCACAAGTGCTGAATTACTATTTTCACCCTTGTTGGACAGATAAAGGTAGAGAGGCTTGCAGAGGTGAGAAGACCTGCCCAGGCACTATTGTTTTTCACTTGCTGTTTGCCTGTT